TTTTACTCCGATGTCGGTTGGATACGGTGTTTTTTGCGTTGCAAACTAGACTTGTAGGTATTTGATATAATGGGTGATAGGCCTTCTAGATCTTTGTATATTGGGAGAAATCATCCAAGACATTTGACCCAAAGTTAAGAAAATATTATTAGAGAAACTTCGATAACTTTTGCCGACTTTAGTTTCACTAATTTTCTTGACTTCCAAACTTACCATACGACCCTTGTGCTATTATAATACCTCATAAAAAACTATTCTTAGCGTGTTTTACACTCATAGGCTTATCCACAAGGTATGGGACAAGTTAAACCTTTCAAACGGGCGAAATTCTACCCGAGCCATTTCTTTTCTCATGAACTTTGTTTGAGTGGTTCCTTTGACCTAAAACTTTAGTTTAGTTCCTCGATATTGCCACCGACTTGCAATATTAATCTCCAATGTACAATACAAAGTCATATACACCTCATATAATCATGCCATACTACGCCACGTATATTATGCCCGATTAGAGAAAAAAATCTACGGGATCTTACATTCTCCCCCCCTTATGAACATTCGTCCGCGAATGGATCTAAACAATTCCTTGGTTGTATTTTCTTTCTTTTTTTCTCAAAGCACTTTATTTGCGAATCTATATTTGTTACAGTCGCAAACCTGAAGTCAAATTCTGAAAATTTTAAATACTAAGCCTTGCATAGCTATCTCATAAGAAGACATATAAATTTCACCTTCAAGATACCTAAAATATAACTAAGTCGTTGTGAAGAAATATTTGCCAATAATCGAAATGTGACTCACCTTAAGTCGTAAACAGTTGGGGGTACTCCTTCCTCATTTCCTCTTCCGCTTCCCAAGTCATTTCCTCGATGTTATTGTTTCTCCATAACACTTTCACAGAAGCTACATCTTTATTTCGAAGCTTTCTTACTTGCCGATCTAAAATCTCTATTGGTACCTCTGCATAAGATAAATCCTCAGCGATACAAATATTTTCAATGGGCATAATACGTGAAGGATCTCCAATGCACTTCCGCAACATAGAAACATGAAATACAGGATGAACTGCTTCCAATTCTGAAGGCAAATCAAGCTCGTATGCCACCATACCGATCTTCCGAATAAAACATCTGCATAAGACTTCTATCGACACTGTGCTGTATGAAGCCTTTCTATAATAAGCCTAACATTTTCAATCGCTTGTTGGACTAGATTGGGACCTAGCAAATCTGCTTCCTTGAGGTCAAACCAACCGATTGGGGACCTACACTTCCGCCCGTATAGTGCTTCGTAAGGGGCCATCTGAATACTAGCTTGAAAGCTGTTATTATAAGCGAACTCAATAAGAGGTAGATGTTGATCCCAACTTCCTTTAAAATCCAACACAGAAGTACGTAACATACCCTCAACTGTCTGAATAGTACGTTCTGCCTGTTCATCAGTTTGTGGATGAAAAACGGTGCTAAGATTTACCTGAGTTCCTAGACCTTTTTGAAACGATCTCCAAAAATGTGCTGTAAATTGAGCTCCTCGATCTAAGATAATAGATAATGGAACTCCGTGAAGGCGAACAATTTCCTGAATGTAAAGCCTAACATAATCTTTAGCTGAATATGTCGTCCTAACTGGCAAGAATGAGCAGATTTGTCAGCCTATCGATAATTACCCAAATAGAATCAAAACCTTCGTGGAGTACGAGGCAAACCAGTGATGAAGTCCATATTTATCATATCCCATTTCCATAACGGAAGCTCAATAAACTGGGTTAGGCCTCCAGGCCTCTGATGCTCTGCCTTAACTTGTTGACAGTTGGGACATTCAGCTACCATCTCCGCAATATCTTTTTTCATGTCATTCCATCAATAGACCTGTCGAAGGTCCTGATATATCTTCGTCGCTCCAGGGTGAGATGCATATCTAGAATAATGGGCCTCTGAAAGAATATTTGTACGGAGCTTCCCAACTGACGGTACACATAAGCGACCCTGCTATCTAAGGACTCCACTCCAGTTAGCTCAAATAAGGGGTGTTGCTGCTGTGGAATCTTTTCCCTCAATTTCCTAAGCTCAGGATCTTCATGTTGCCGCCTTTTCACTTCAGTCACCAAGGAAGATTCTGCCATATTCTTAACGACAACACCTCCGCCTCCTGCATCTACCAAGCGTACTTGCAAATTAACTAGCTGGCATATGTCTTTTGTAATTCCAGCCTTATCAGCTTCTACATGACTTAGACTACCCATGGACTTCCGGTTGAGCACATCAGCAACAACATTAGCCTTGCCGGGATGATATAAAATGTCAACATCGTAGTTCTTTAACAATTTTAGCCATCTCCTTTGTCGTAGGTTCAACTCCCTCTGCTTAAGTAAATACTGAAGGCTCTGGTGATCGGTGAACACATCTATATGAACCCCGTATAGATAATGTCGCCAAATTTTTAGGTCAAAAACAACTGCGGCCAACTCAAGATCGTGTGTAGGATAATTCTGCTCATTTTTCCGCAACTGTCTAGAGGCGTATGCAATAACCTTACCATGCTGCATAAGAATACAACCTAGGACAATTCTTGAGGCATCATAATAAACAACATAGCCCTCATTACCATCTGGAAGATTTAGGACAGGTGCAGTGGTAAGCCTTCTTTTTAGTTCATGAATGCTCTGCTCACATGCCTCGGTCCACTGAAACTTCGTTGCCTTATGTGTCAATTTTGTCAGTGGTGCAGAAATAGAAGAGAATCCCTCCACAAACCTTCGGTAATACCCCACCAAGCCTAAAAAGCTGCGAATGTCTGTCGAATTCAAGGGCCTCGGCCAAGTCATCACTGCTTCAATCTTTTGTCCATCAACCTTAATACCCTCACTTGTAATAACATGACCAAGAAAAGCTACTGAGGTAAGCCAAAAATAACATTTAGAGAATTTAGCATATAATCTGCAATCTTGGAGAGTCTGCAATATAGCT